AGGACCTTGGGGAGCTCCAGAAGGTGGTCGCAGGCGCGCGCGTCCGCGGCGTCGCCGCAGCGGAAGACGGCGGCGCCGTCGGCGAGCGCGCCCCTCGCGACGCCGCAGCCCGCGCCGACGGAGCAGCCGTCGCCGACGACGACGCCGGCCGCCACGACGGACCGCGGCTTGAAGACGTTGTAGTCGCCGACGCGGGACGCGAAGCAGGCGCTCCCGACCTGGAACCAGTTGCCGTCGCCGATGCGCATGGGCGCGCCGGAGTCGTTGCGGATGGTCACGAGCTCGTCGATGGCCACGTCGTCGCCGATGGCGATGGGGCCTTTGGTGGCGTCGATTTGCGCCGAGGCGTGCACCGTGCAGCGCGCGCCGTAGGTCACGTTGGAGGACGACTGGAAGTCGGCCATTGTCGTTGTGGTGCAGCAACACGCGGCGCTCGAGCACTCGAGACGCTATCCCGCGCCGGCGCGCGCGCTGCGGCAAAAATATCTTTTGTCCGTGCCCGTGCCCGTCATTGAGCCGCGAGATCGTCTTGTCGAGCTTCTTCTACGTCCAGACGTGCGCCGCCGGCGCCCCCAAACGCGCGGAGGGACGCGCGCGCAGCCCTCGAAGACGTAAACGAAGCCTCCTCTCGGCCGGCTCCCGCAAAAAAACCGACGCAAACGCCCCGCCGCGCGAAAACCGAGCCAGGGCCCCGTTTTTCACCGCTCCCGCCGCCGCAGGCCATGGCCCGCTCCCTGTTCCTCGTGTCCGCGCTGCTCGTGTCCGCGGCGGCCTTCACGGCGCCCCGGCCCGCCGCCGTCGCGCGGCCCCTCGCCGCGGAGAAGCGCGGCTTCGGTTTCGAGGCGCCCAAGGTCGACCCGAAGACCGCCGCGGTGCAGCTCGCGGCCGTCGCGCCCGTGCTCGCCGCGCTGCCCGCGAACGCCTTCTCCGCGTCCTACCTGCCGGCGATCCTCGTGCCCGTCATGACCCTGTTCCTCCCCGCCATGGGCATGGCGCTCTCGTTCATCATGGTCTCCAAGGACGAGATCTAGACGATCCCATCCCCGTAAGCCTAGTCGCCGAAGAGGTCGTCGGACGTGGCGTCGTCGTCGAGGAGGAGCCCCGCGAGGAGGGCGGCCCCGTCGAGGCCGGGCTTGGGGACGGGGTCGAACTGGACCTCGAGGAGCACGGGCGTCCATTCGCGGTCGAAGAGCACGTCGATCCCGTAGACGGCGGCGCGCCGCGGCGGGCCCTCGGCCGCCGCCGTCGAGAAGCCCGGGCAGCGCGCCGCGCCGGCGGCGAGGACGTCGCGCGCGAGCGCGCGGACGCGACCGAGCGCGTCGGACCAGCGGCCGCCGGTCTCGCGTTCGTAAAACTCCCGGAACTCCGCCGCCGTCGGGTTCGCCGACGCGTCGAAGGTCGCCGGCGCGACGAGGTGCATGGCCGTGAGGTGCGCCGTGCGCCGCGACGGGTCGCCGCCGTAGGCGTCGCGCGCGACCCGGACCCAGAAGTCGCGCCTGGGTGGAACTCAAATCTTCAACCCGACTTCAATGTAATCGAACGGCTTGGACCGGACTCTTCGGCCGTGCTTCGAGAACTCGACGAGGGCAAACGACTCGTCCAAAAATCAGCCGAATCGACTTCGATGTGACCGAGCTAGAGAGTTCTGAAGTTTGGTTGGGATAACCCAGCTCACTGTTTGATTCCCGCCCAGAAGTCGCGCCAGAGCCGGCCGCAGAGCGCGTCGCCCTCGAGGCGCCGCACGAGCACGAGGAAGCGCACGTCGAACTTGCGCCCGCGATAGAGGGCGACGTCGCGCACGTAGCGCTGGGCGACGCGCGGGCAGGCCTCGTCGACGGCGAGCGCCGGCGCGAGGCTCGCGTCGACGCGCACCCCCTGCCCCCGACTGCCCGCGCGCGGCTTCGAGATCCACCAGGCGCCCGGGTGGGCCTCGGCGTGGCGCAGGGCCGCCAGCGCCTCGGCGCCGCAGCGGAGCTCGTAGGTCGCCGGGTGGTACCAGTCGCGGCCTGGGCAGGAAAAGGGTGCGAAATTCCCAACTTTGGAGGCTCCTATCTCGGTCATTTTCCACTCGTTTCGGCTGATTTTGGGACGAGCGATCATCCCTCGGAGCGCTCTTGACGCGTGGATGCTTTTTCCGGAACGCGCGCGCGCGGAACACTCATGTTGAAGCGACGTTGAATCACCCTTGTCCTGCCCTGGTCGCGGCCGCCGGTGCCCGCGGCGTCGTCGCCTCGCGACCGCAGGGGCCGCGACCCGAAGGCCGCGCGGAGCGTCGCCGCGAGGCGGTGCT